TGGGATACAGGTGTCAAAAGCTAATGGACATGCTAGCAAATCTCCATCCCTCCAGGTTTCAAAGGGACAGAATTTGTTCATTGTCCTGTCTGTATTGATTCCCAGTCAGACACAGAATCCCTGTTCACCTCCCTTCTTCGAAATAGCTCCAGCCATGGGGAGGGCTCTGGGCTCTGCAGGTTTAGAAATAGGCAGAGGTTTAACGCCAGAGCTGTGTGTGTGTCAGCAAGTCCCCCAGAGAGCACAGATCCTGGGAACTCCTAGTGAGGGTGTAAAAATTCCTGTCACCTCCCCAGACACCTGCCTCCCCCAAGGCGGCTCAGTGACCATGTTCCTGTCCTCTTAGGTTCCATATTCCCACCAGCACAGCACGGGGACAGGTTCCGTTCCCACAGTGCCCTTTGTGACAGACACTCCCCCAATGCTCCATGCGCCCTGTATGAAGAGTTCAGTCACAGAGACCCCCTTGGGACTGTAACCTGATGTGCTGAAATGACCACTGAGCCTGTTTTCCCTGCCAGCTTGGGCCCCCAGTACCCTCTCTTGTTGAACCAGACACGCTAACCTGCTGCAGCACAGATTCAGGGTCCGGGCTACGCCCCCAAGCTGCAAATCTTAACTGAAAACAGCACAGCAAGATACCTATCTCCAGCACTCAGATACCCAGCCCCAATAGGATCTAAACCCCAGATAAATCCGTCGTACTCTGTATAAAGGTTATACAGGGTAACTTCCTAAGTGTTCGCCCTCTTTATCACTAAAAGAGAGAGATGCACAAATTGTTTGCCCCCTCCCCACCAGTAACAATTACTTACATTGGGTTTATTAATAAGCAAAATGTATTAAGTATAAAAAGTAGTTGTTTGAAGTAATAGAACAAAGAAAGTCACTAAGCAAAATAAAGCAAACATGCAAGGCTCAGCTTAATACGCTAAGAAACTGGTTACAAATAATAATTTCTCACCGTCACATAAGTTTCCATAAGTTTTTCACAGACTAGACTTGTTTCTAATCTGGGCCCAATCCTTTCCTCTGTTCAGTATCTGTTAGTTGCAGCAGACATCTTGGGTGATAAGCAGGGGTCTCCTCACCTAATTTTAAATCTAAGAATGATGCATACATCCAAATAGGAAAACCATATTCAGTAGATTACAACTTTTCCAATGATCCCTTAAATGGGACCTTTTGCATAAAGGATGTTCCAGTTATGTCATGTTCATATTGATAAGCATATTTTCAGCATATGGAGCACGCCATAACACCCTGATCTGGTCTGATTTCACCCCCTGCGCAGGATTTCCCATTCCCAAACCTGAGCTGATCACCCGGCTAGAACGAGGGGAAGAGCCGTGGGTGCCCGATCTCCAGGTCTGCGAGGAAAGAGAGATCCCGAGAGGCACCCACACAGGTGAGGACGGACACAGAAACCATCTGGGGAATGAAGGAAAAAGTTGCAGGAGTTTCCTTTCCAGGTTTCCTTCCCTGTGAGTGTTTGGGTGAGAAGTGGAGGCAGAATCCAATTGCTCAGTCTTTGTGTTGGGTTTTCCCTCGGTGCTATTCCTCTTTCTCCCCAGCACAATGACTCCTGTCTGGATTATCTCTCTCCCAGCTCATCATGAGAGAGTGAGTGAGAATGAAGAGGAGAATCATGATGCAGAAGTTCCTGGTAAAGTGGAATCACAGGAGACCTTTATGGGAAGTGCTGCATGGAATTTTTTCCACTGCTTGGAACAGGGAGAAGCCTGGGAAAATGGGCAGAGGTCAGAGAGGCTGCTGGGTAACCACCTGGGAAACCACCCAGAGAGGCTGCTGGGAAACCACCTAGGGCAGAAAGTGGCTGAATCTATTAACTGTGGGAGAGGAGACAAGGATCCCAGAGCTCAGCAGACAAGGAAGAGACACCCTGACACTGCCTGCAGTGTGGGAAAAGATTCATTCCGAGCTCACAGCTTGTAACACATCAGACAATCCATACTGGAGAGAAATCCTCCCAATGCTTGAACCGTGGGGAAAGCTTCAGTAACCGCTTAGACCTTAATAACCGTGGGAGACGCCACACAGAAGAGAAACCCTCTCAATGCCTTCAGTGCGGGAAATGTTTCATTTGGAAGTCAGAACTAATTACACATCAGAGAATCCACACACGAGAGCCCCCATAAGTGTTTCATCTGTGGGAAAAGTTTTTCATGTGTAGGTCAGATCTTGTTAAACATCAGGGAATCCACACTGGAGAGAGACCCCATAAGTGTTTGGATTGTGGGAAAAGTTTCAGAATCAGATCATCCCTTGTTTTACATCAGAGGATCCACACAGGAGAGAGACCCCATAAGTGCTTGGACTGTGGAAAATGTTTCACACGGCGATCACACCTCACTAAACATGGAAGAATCCACACAAGATCTAAACTTCTGTGACACAGGGCCAGAAAGGGTTAAGCAACTTGCAAGCTAATTGACCCAGATTCACCCTTTAGACACATGTTAGAAATGTGTGTAAATGGAAATTAGGGCCCTTCCACATTAGATAACCTAGAGTTTTGAAATGTAAACTTTTATGGTTAAAGAACTGGAAGAAGATATTAATTGTACTAGTCTATGTTTAGTCACATCTTGTTAGAGGTTCACAGTGTAACGAAAGGGTTTCTGTCTAGGGCTGTATGTTAAATCTGAGATGGAAAGGAAATATTAACATATAGATAAAACTTGGGTGTAATACTGTCATTGGTAAACTGTGTATTAACTGCTTTATGGATAGTTACCTTATTTTAATCCATGTAATTAATTACCATCGATGTTTAGGAAATAGAAGGTTACTTGAAAAGCCTATTGTTCACCTGATGAAGTCAATCTGAAAGAGACTCTTTGCAATTCTAATGCACCATCTCTGCAGTGAAACTGACCTAAGGACTCTATTCATCTCTGCATGAGATGGGATAGCTCAGTGGTTTGAGCGTTAGCCTGCTAAACCCAGGGTTGTGAGTTCAATCCTTGAGAGGGCCATTTAGGGATCTGGGGCAAAAATCTGTCTGGGGATTGGTCCTGCTTTGAGCAGGGGGTTGGACTAGATGACCTTCTGAGGTCCCTTCTAATCCTGATAATCTATGAGTTATTTCCTGTGAGGCTTGCCACCTGGACATAACACATGGCCAATTGGTGGCTGCATTTCCCTGCTGCGTGACCAATCCCAACATAAAAATCCTTTGGGATCCTTGCAGATGAGGTACTATGGAAATGTGTGGGGCCTATCCCCTTGCTGTATTCTACTAACCTGAGTTTTGCTTTGCCTTAGGGTTGGAATTGGCAACTCCCTCACTGGTTCCTCTGAAGAAGAACCTCAACGCTGTAGTGGTGTCTGAAAAATACAACCTGAAGCCGATGCCAATGAAGAGACAGAGGTTGGTCTGAGCATCCCGCCCTGCTCTGGGGAAAGCGTCCAGACCTTGCGCCTGTGGCTTCCTCTGTCTGCCTCACCTTTACACTCTGTTCCTCAGTCCTGAGAAGCACTCTGTGTGGAACTGGGAGGCAGGACTCCTGGGTTCTATCCCTGGATCTGGGAGGGGAGTTGGATCTAGTGGGTTACAGTAGGGGGAGCTGGGAGGCAGGACTGAGTGCTGAGGGCATTTGCCCGAGGCCCTGTGTGTAGTACGGGCCCAGCATTGGTAACCTTCCCCAAGCCGCCCCTGCTTGCCCCTTCAGCCCCCTGCAAAGCAGCTCTAGAGTTGTGCTGTGCTTTCTCTGCTCTTCATGCCAGATCATCACGTGATCTGGGCTTGCCTGCTCCTTGCCTGATCCCTTTCCTGGGCCGTGGCCTCAGCGTCTCAGTGCCATGTCTGCTTTTCCCCCTCACAGCACGTCCGCCCCCTCTGGAGACAACCCACCAGTAGAGAAGAAATACAAACCTCTGAACACCACCCCCAACAGCACCAAGGAAATCAAAGTCAAGATCATCCCAGTGCAACGTGAGTACATTTGAGGCCCCAGTAGTCAGGATGCCTGGGTTCGGTCCTCAGCATTGGGCAGGGAGTGAGGTCTAGTTGGTGAGAGTAGCGGGGTTGCAGGGGTGGGGCTGAGAGTCAGGACTCCTGGGTTCTATCCCTGGTTCTGGGATGGGAGTGGGGTATAGCATGGGGGAGGGGTAGGATTATATGTGAAGTTGCAGGTGTGTGGAGCTTTCAGTTTGTGTAACCTCTTTTGTTTCCCCCCCTCTCTGCAGCAATGGAGGGCTTGGGCTTCCTGGATGCATTTAACTCTGCCCCCATCCCGGGGATCAAGATCAAAAAGAAAAAGAAAGTCTTGTCTCCTACGGCAGCCAAGGTACAAACACCTCTGGGTGGGGGCTTGTGGGTTAGAGTGGGGAGGGCTGAGAGGCAGGACCCCTTGGTTCTGTCCCCAGCTCGGGGTGTGGGGGGATCTGGTGGGTTAGAGCAGGGGGCTGGGAGGCAGAACCCCTGGGTTCTGACTTCAGCAATGAGAGGGGAGTGGGGTCTGATGCAGGGGCTGGGAGTTACTGGTTCACTTCCCACTGATCCCACATTTCTCTCTGTGTCCCAGGCGAGCCCCTTTGAAGGGAAGCCAGCCCCAGAAGCGAGCGCTGCTAAACCATCCTCACCAGAACCCGCTACTGCATCCGAGCCGATAGAGGTGGATCGGCCCGGTACCCCTGTGCCGGCAGTAGAGGTCCCAGAGCTGATGGAGACCGGTAAGGATGGGGAAGGCGTTGGAGCCAACGGGTTCTATTGTGCTAACCCTGGGCGGGTGGTAGGTGTCAGCCCAACATCCTGGCTGTGTTGGATCAGACCTGATGTTGCCACCCAGGAGGCCATAAAACCGATAATGCATGTGGCCGGGTGTGCCATGCCAGCTGGGATACAGCTGCCTTGGTGGGGGGGGGGCGGGCAGCCTCTGTGTCAGCTTAACTGTGGGGCTGGCAGGGCTGTCTTCACCTGGGGGTCCTGGGTTGGGCTCAGGAGGCATTGGCGCCGGTTGTTAGATCCAGGCTCCGTGGTGTGTGTTTGTCTGATCGCTGAGCCGCTCTGTGTCCCGTCCCCGCAGCCTCGTCCGAGCAGAACTCAGACGCCAAGCCGTCCGAGAGCGTCGCTGACTCCACGCGGCTCACCAAGAAGGGCAAGAAGAAGACAGTGAGCTGGCCTGAAGAGAGCAAGCTGCGGGAGTACTTCTACTTCGAGCTGGATGATACTGAGCGAGGTGAGTACTGGGGCAGGGGCCTTTCCCTCTAGGGGGCACCAGCTCCCATCTATCGCCAGGGGACTGGGGCATGGGGCCTTTCTCTCTAGGGGGTGCCAGCTCTGCTCCAGCACCAGGGGACTACCTGGCTTCTGCAGGTGGGAAAAGGGATACGAGGCCTTTGAACTCCTATTACGGAGTGGGGGTGTCGCACCCTTCCCATCGGCTGGATGGCAGTGACCTGTCTGTCCCCTGACTAAACCCCTCCCCATTTCTTCTCCTCCCCCGGCAGTCAACCTGAACAAGATCAAGGACTTTGGCGAGGCAGCCAAGCAGGAGATGCTGAAGGACCGGCAAGCCTTCGAGACGGCGCGCCGGCTCAGCCACAGTGCCATGGAAAATAAGGTGCCCTGGGTTTACCCCAACCTCATCGACCTGCCTAGCTCCCTGGAGCAGCCGGGCAGCGGCAGCCACGAGAAGTTCACCCAGGCCAAGAGGGAGAAGGGAATCCTGCCGGAGATCTTCCTCTTCAAGGAGAGGTGGGTGTGGCCCTGGGGGGCAGGGTGAGAGGTTGGAAGGATACTGGGGGCGAGGCCGGGG